GAGGGGCAATGCCTAGAAATAAGGTGAGAGATATAAGCATGATGTCACCTTCTCTACCCCTTTCCTTCCTCTAACCCTGACCATCAGCATCCTCACCACTCAGACTGAGGCTATCTAGGCCATGACAGACCATGGCCTCAGAGGCACTAGGGTACTTACTTAGAAGGAGGGCCCCCGATAGAGGGGGCCTCTAGTGTCTCCTAGCTATAAAACAGTTTCCTCTGACCCCACATCCTCCTTCAGCCACCATCCCATTTCTATCCTCTCTACAATAAAACTATGTTGTCTGTGTTGACCATCTACCTCCTTTCTTTACATTCCTCTTTCAACACACTCCAACTAGGCTACTAGCCTCACCTCTTCACTTGAGGTTGCTCTTATCAAGGTCACCAGTTATTTTCATGTTGCCTGATCCAATGGGCACCTCAGGTCTTATCCATTTATCAGCAGCACTTGACAGAGCTGATCACTCCCTTCTTGAAAAAATTTTTCTTAGCTTTAATAGTATCATAATCTCCCACATTCTCTCCCACCTCACTGAGTGTTTCTCTTACTCTTCTTTTCTGGCTCCTTTCCTGATTCATCCCACCCTCAACATAACTGGTGTGCCCCAAGGCTTTGTCCGGGGTCCCATTCTCTATCTCTGTTCCCTCCCTGGGTTATCTCAGCCAGTTCTATGGCTTTTAACACTGTCCACTAAGCCAACAGCTCCCAAATTTATTTCTCTAGGCCAGTCCTCTCTTAGAACTCTAGACATATATTCAATTGCATGGCTGCTCATGTGCATGGCTGCTTAATGGATATCTAAAACTGAGTATGACCAAAATAGAACTCTTGATGAAACAGAACTCCCCATGTTTCACCCTGCTTCTACTCTTTTCTGGTAAAGTCTTTACACAGCAGCCAGTGGCTTTTGAAAATATAAATTAGATCATGTCACTCCCCTGCTTAAAATCTCCAAGGGCTTACTTCTGTATTGTGAGACAACTTCACAATCCCTATCTTTGCTTACACGTCCTTTGTAAAGTGGCCCCAGGCCACCTCCCTGACTCCATCTCATACACCCCCAACCCTCACCCCTGTGTTCCAGCCACAGGCCTTCATTCACTACCCCTACTACTCCAAGCTTGCTCTCACCCTTGGTAAAGCTATTCCCTCTGCCTAGAATGCTCTTTCCCCCGATATTCCTATGGCCAGCTCCTTCTTGTACCTCACAGTTTAGCTTAACCCTCACCTTCTCAGAGGTCCACCTATCCTGGCTGCCTAATTGACAGTAGTCTCCTACATGATAGATGCCTCTATCATGTCATCCTATTTAAATTTTCTTCATTGTATCTCCCATTCTCAATAGTCTTCTTGTTTCCTTAATTACTTATTTTCTTTTTTCTCTAACTCTAATGTATCATGAAAGTACGGACCTTGCCTTGCTTGGCACATCATAAGAGCCCAACAGCATGCACATATGCTCTGTGACAGCACTGCAGATAGATTTCCTCCTGCCTTTCTCCTGGGCAGGAGCCCCTTGACTCACCAAAGACATGGGGCACTTCTCCAGATCCTCTTCATTCTTGATCTGAACATCTGCAATGGAGATGTACTTGTGCTGGGGAAGAAAAGATATCAGTTAAGAGGCTGAGGTTACTAAAAAAATTTTTTTTTAATTAAAAAAAAAAGGGAGGGCACCTAGATGGCTCAGTCTGAAGAATGTATGACTCTTGATCTTGGGGTTGTGAGTCTGAACCCCATGTTGGGTGTAGAGATTACTTAAAAAAAAGAAAAAGAAAAAGATACTGAGGGCCCCAACCACATATGTACCAGCCTCTTGCTTATCTTCCTTAATGATAAGGAAATGTCCTGTATATGGGTTGTCACCCCAAACAGAACATGAACTCTTCGAAGGTAGGAGTCTTATTTACCCTTGTACCCTTAACATTGAGCCCGGTGCTTCATATACAGTGTTTCTGTTTATTCTATGTTCCCATATTTGTTGAAGAGCAGAAATAGTTAAGTATTTACCTTCAACCAAAGGGCAAGGGGAAGTGAAGAACAGGCCCGTGTCCCTGGACCACTATCCTGAGAGTTTTGCTGCGTGTGAGTATGCTTGTGTGCATGTGTATGGAGTGATGATGGGGTGAGGGAGAGTTCAGGGTCTGTGCAAGAGATGACTATTTTTACTCTTTGTGCTCGTATATACTTTGGATGCAGAGAAGACTGCTACTAATCCTGGGCTTTTGGAAGTTAGTGGCCTTATAGGGAGAAAGAAGTGAGAGGAAAGGAAGCGAGGAGGAGGAAGAGAGAAAGAAGGGTGGGAGGAGGAAAAAGGCATGAGAGGAAGAAAGGATAACTTTTTCATCTATCTGAATGTAGGAAAATGGTTAAATAAGGAGAGACCTAATTTCTTCCTCTTTGGCCAAAATGTCTGCTGGGGAAATACAGAATGTGTCTGGTAGAAGAGTCAATAACCAGGACTTTGGTCATCAAACTTGAATGATGGCTCCCTATCCCTGAAGACTGAGAGCCCGCCCTGGTCACCTGCTTTAGAGTCTTCACACTCTCATGGATGGGCCTGGGTAATCCAACCAAGGTATCTGTGTCCCTGTGAAATGAGAGATATACCAGATCATAAGCATCAAAACTATAGAGAACTACTGATTAATCACTGGCCTCTATCTCTAAAACTAATATTATATTATATGTTAACTAACTGAATTTAAATTTAAAAAAACTATAGAGAACTACTGATATCCCCTGGAGTTACATGGACCATGCCACTTTCAACATGCGGTATTCTGGATCTTTCTCTGCAAGCTTCCATGTCCCCCATTATTGCTTCAGGACACAAAAAGAACAATGCCACACAGAAGTGTTCCTGAAAATTAGGATTTTTGTATAGTCTTTTGGGGATTTACTTTGTCAGGGTGTGGTAGGTTCCTTAAAAGGGCATGTAGCCCAACTACAGTGAAACATGGGAACAAGGCCTTCTCCATTTTGTAGAGGCCAGCCAGTGTGAGGGATTCATGAGGGAGGAGATATGGGGGAAGGCTGGATCTGATCTGACCATGTTGCTTCTTCACAAAATTCTGGCCTATTAAAACAGGAAGGACCCCTAGGGACCACCTAATCCAACACTCTCCTGAAGAAATTGAAGCCCAAGAGGGAAATGACTTGTCACTCAAGGTCCTACACCTGGCTAAGAACATAAGAGTTCCTCTAGGAAACTGGAAGGAAAAAAATTCCATGGCACCAGCCCAGAGTCACTAGCAGATGGCCCATAGTGGCTCTAAGTTACACCATAACTACCAGGCAACATCTCTCATTCCAGCCACCCACTCCTCTGGCCCCCTAAGAACCACTGTATAGCCAGTTCTGACCATCTAGTCACTTACTGCCCCAGAGTGAATCCGATGAATTTGTTCCTGCTCATCTCCAAGAAGTGCTCAATGTCCTTCTGTCTGAGAGGACAGTGGAGAGACAATTCCCAGAAAAGGAAAAAAAAAAAGGCAAACCTTGAGAGACAGAACCTTTCTGGACTCCTAACCCTTTGATTGGAGGATTAGAGCAGTGGGGGAAGATAACAGCTAACAGAGGAAACTTCAAACCCAGGAGTTTCGACTTCTAGCCCAGCTTACTGAGACTTGAACATGTAGACCACTGCATCGTGGGCCTTCAGTGATTCTAATCCCAAAATTCAGGGTCCCCGGAGTTATCAAACCTACCTGACCTTTGGGGCCCAGGGTAGGCCCTTGGGAAAGGCCACCCGCTCAGCGGAAGGGGATGCCTGTGAGGGTGGAGGTGGCACCAGAGGGTCTTGCTCTAGCAGGTCTAATTCTCCATCCAAGGTTCGTTCTCCATCACCAGCAGACTCCTCTTCCTCCTCTGTGGCTGGTTCCTCAGTCTTAAAGAGATCTCTTTCATTGTAGATGTCCAGGCTGTCCTGCTTAGTGAGGAGTTGCTGGGTGGGGGTTGGGAGGGTGGAGAGAAGGTGTACAGAGATCTCACTCTGAGCATCCTTGTCTGAGGTCACCCTCTACCCATAAGCTACTAGACTTTAGGATACATGGAGTAACAACCCAGCTCTTATAAGAATATCCCCCACCCCACCTTAACCCTAGTATATCCACCAGGCCCAATCCCAGGACAAGCACCTCTCAGGCAAACAAGCCTATGGCTGGGGAACAAAGCATACATAATCCCAAAGTCAGTTACTTAGCTTTCAGAAAGCATGGATTTTTTAATTTAATTTAATTTATTTATTTATTTTTTGCCAGCACTTTCCTTCCTTATTATGCTCTGCTTAGGTGAACATTCAATTAGTTTGCCTTCTGTGAGCTTACACCAGCTGGCTGATTGAGGAAGGGGAGGACAGAGGCTTGCTGCTAGGCAGAGGGAAGCAAGTTTGGAATTTTAAATCTTGTCAAAAAAAAAAAGATTGGACAGAAATAGGCCAAAAAGTTAACAGTGACTGCCTCTGGTTTATTAAGCTTGTAGGTGATTTTCTTTGTTCCTCCCTTCTTCACATTTTTATATTTGCTCCAAATTTTGTACAATGAGTAAGCATTACTTTATAAAACAAAAAATAAAGGTTAAAAAAAATCACATTGCAGATTATGTAGACTAGATTACTGAACATGACTGTCTGGTCCTGTCACCTGTAATTGGTGAACTCAGGTATTTCAGGGAGGTGAGTTTGTGGGTACATGGTCAAGTCTCAGGGCAACCTGTCATTCTGACCTTTCCAGGGATGCAGATTATACCTAGAATACTAATTAATCACCTCCTAAATGTAAACCTCTGGTTCCAGGGCCAGACAAGAGCATGGCTGGCTCAGAGTAAACCTTGCTATCAATAAAATGATAAAGCGCCTTACCCCATGCATGTGGATTTGCTGGGAGCCCTGTTCAGGTGATCTGGGTCCCTATTTCCAGGATTATGCCCTAACTGTTGGCCAGGATAACTCCAGGCATACCAGGTCTGGGCCAATGACCCTGTAGCAAGATATGGATCTATGATGTAATATGAACAGTGTTACATCATGATAGCCTGGGAGCCTTCTGGAGTTGGAAGACAGCAGCCAAAGTACAGACTCCAAGGTTTCAGGTTGGTCACAAGGCCAATCAGAGGTAGGATGAACCTCATCATTTACTGCCTTTTCCTACCACATCCAGAGTAGCTCAGAATCTTAATTTTTGGCCTACTAGTATCAAAACACCACTGTCTGCTTTAGTTCATACCCTTCGAGAACCACGGCGGCCTCGCAGCTTAGAGGGTGGTGGTGCCAGCTGAGACTCCCCCAGGTCGAGGGTGTAAGAGGGCGGGGAGGCAGCACGCATGCTCTTCACCACCTGGATACTGTCTTCAGCCAGTGGAGGCAGCCCCAATTCTGCCCGCTTCTGTACCTTGAGAACCTGTAGATGCTCAAATCCACCAAGGGTAAACTACGGTATAAACAGGAAAGGGGCAGAGGAGAGGAAAAGAGGGAAGTCAGAGGGAACAAGGTCAGGGAAATGTGAATGGAGAGGAAGAGCCACACTCTCCAGTCCCCTTGTACTCCCTTCTTAACTAAGAAGTAATAAAACAGGAAGGGACAAATGTAGTTACTATCCCCAGTCTTAGAAGCTCAGGGGTCAGGATAAAGCATTATTTATTGACTCAGGGCTGGAAACATCACCAGGAATTAGGAAAGGGACTTCTGGGGGCTTCCACTGGAGAAAAAAAAGGGAAACTGTGTCCCCTTTTTAAGGAGTACAACCAGATGCTATAAAGCCCGAGTCACTCAATTTCTTCTGCAGTCAAAGTTAGTTCCCCCCTATGAAACTCGCTCTGGAGGGTATGTTGTTCAGGAAGTCCTGTGGGGTGGGAGCCAGAGGTGAAGGATCAGATTTAATAATTAGTAACAAAGCTGTAACCATACACTTATAAGGACTTCATTTTTTTTAAAGATTCATTTATTTATTTTAGAGAGAGAATGTGAGCAGGGGGAGGGGCAGAAGGAGAGAGAGAGAGAAAGAGAGAGAGAAGTAGATACCCCACTGAGCGCAGAGTCCAACGCAAGCCTCGATCCCACGACCCTGAGCTAATGACCTGAGCCAAAATTAAAGAGTCAGACACTTAACTGACTGAGCCACCCAGGTGCCCCAGGACTTCATTATTTTTTAAAGCAAATCCTCTGTTTATTTGGATGGAGGGCAGGTAGTAAATCCCATTTTATAGCTAGAAAAATTGAGGCAGAGACAGTTGTCTGAGGTTCCTCAGTATCAGTGGAGGGTAGATCTCCCAACTCTCAACCAGTATTCTTTCCATGAAATGTCAGCTCTATCATGGGAAGGTGCAATGACACCCTAACTCATAGAGTGACATCTCCCGTCAGTCCAACAGAAATAGGTAACCTGCTGTGACACAGAACATATGATTTCTCTCCATTGGCTAACAGCTGCCCTCCCTATTCTTCTGCCTAGCTCCAGTCTCCTGGAATCAGACTAGAAGAAAGTGATGTGGCAGAGGGGCATTGCTGATCTGATGAGATGGGCGTGGGGAGGAGGGGGTGGATCAGCCACTTACCATGACCACCTTCCAGAGCAAAAGCAGGACCTTCTTTATGGGGAAGTGGGGAGCCAGGCCACTGCAGAACTTGGTAACCATGGAGAAAAGCAAAAGGGCAAAAGGTTCCTCATTATGTATGGAGAAGCCTGGGGAAGAGGAGAGAGAAGTGAGAAAGTGAGGATGAGAGTGCTGAAACCCTGCCCCTTTAACCCTGCTTCTGGATGCAGTGAGGTAGGCTCTTACCTCCTCCAAGAATTTGAGTACTGTTCCTTAGAAGGAGGCTTAGAGAATCCCCAGAGGGAAGGAACAGGAAGGAAGGCCATGGAGGTAAAATGGCTTAGCTCCCAAGCTTGAGGGTGGATACCAAACTAGAAGTAATAGTAATAAAGATGTTCCTTTTTGGCCAAAGGACTCAATGTATTTCATAGATCACAACTCACTTTCCCACATCAATCTAATATATTTTAAAAATTCCATAGGCCTTCATATCTTATCCCTGTGTGATGACAACATCAATATTTTCAAGGCGATTCAACTCAGCATTTCATGTGAGATTGATGATGAAATGGGAGATGGATGGCTATTCCATTTTATAACCAAGGAAATCAAGGCACAGAAATGACACATGATTGGTACTAACTCATAGACACAAGGGAAGTTAAGCCAGGTCCTCACGCCTACCACGCAGTATCTTTGCCCTAAAAGAATGGATGCTAATTTGGAAAGAGGAAGGGAGGAAGGAAGGAAAGGAGGGAGGGAGGGAGAAAGGAAGGAAGGAAGGAAAAGCTATTTGTCTCTTCTTTGCAGATGCGCAGAAGTTATGCTTCCCCTCCACCATCAGCATCTTATCCCAACCCTTCCTCAAATGCCACTTCTTACTCAATTCAGTGCGGAAGGTCTCCCGTGCTGTCCTCCACCGGCAGGAGTCTGTCTCTCGCTCCAGGCGGATATTTTCCACCAATAGGTACATGACACTCAGCAGCACCCTGGGGTTATAGAAGGGTTACAAGAGGTTCCCAAAGCAGCTCCCAGCCTATAGTCAGAGACCTTGGGGATGATCTCTGTGGGAGCCCGACCCAGTGGAATTAGCAACTACTAGTAGTCTGGTATATCTGAGACTTGGGCCAAGGGTAACCCACTGTTAACTATCCCTTGTTCTAATCCCAGGGCCAGCTCAACTTACCTGAGTTCTGTGCTATCAGCAATGGAGATGGCTGGTTTCCGAAGAGCACTGCTACAGGCCTGGCTGTTGCTGCCATGGGAAGGAGGGAGAGAACAGGAACTCATAAGGCCTCTTTACACCCTGTGTCCCTACTTATCATATACATAAATGTGAGTACCTGCTATTCCCTGGCTATGTAGCTAAAAGAAATTGGTCTAAGGTAAAGGAACCCATTGAATTCCTTTGCCACCTCAGTAAACCTTTATCTGTGGGGAAGATGGGCAAGGGCAGGATCTCTGATAACCCCTCCACTTATAATCCACACTGTGCCTAGCACTGTGCTGAACACAAAATAGATGCTAAGCAACCCTTTTCTCTTTTTTTAAAGATTTTATTTATTTATTTGACACACAGAAAGAGACAGTGAGAGAGGGAACACAAACAGGGGAAGCAGGAGAGGGAGAAGCAGGCTTCTCGCGGAGCAGGGAGCCCGATGTAGGGCTCGATTCCAGGACCCTGAGATCATGACCTGAGCCGAAGCAGACGCCTAACGACTGAGCCACCCAGGCGCCCCTAAGGAACCCTTTCAATCTCCCCTCTTTAAACTCCTGGGTAATAGGCATGAGATAAAATGACGGATCACTATAGTGGTAGCAGCAGATAAGGCCACCTCTAGAGCTATGACCTATGAGGGAAAGAAATTGGGCACGGCAACAGAAGTTGGTCCTGTCCCTCTTGGATCATGTTCTCAGGTAGAACAGTCTCCTTCATGGATTCCAGAGTTAGGCTGAGTTGAGAAGGTGTTTAGATATAAAGGGAACCCACCTAGGATAGGACCCTGAAGCCCAGGACTGAAGCTGTTAAGTGGGGCAAAAGCTATTGATGAGCCCAACCTCAGGGAAGAGGACAGACTATCAGAGAGCATGGCTGGATAGAGGGGAAGTGTCAGTAAGCTTTGGGCTGAGGTGTGAATAGACTCTGCTCCCACAGAGGTCTCTAGAGTGAGGGAATCAGCATAGGACATGAGGCACACTTCAAGGAAGGGGGTTGTCTAGGCCGGCTCTCCCCTAAGGTTTCTCACTCGATTTCCATGTGGAGTAGCTCCAAGAAGGCTGAGAAGGTCCCCATCTGATAGAGCAGGAAGCAGTTGTACCTGGACCAGTGTAGCACATCGACCTCCGAATCACATTCCCCAAAAGTGCCTAAAGAACCAGACAGTGTCATATGGGTTGAGGGGCATCCAGTTCTTTCCACCCTGCCCCATGATCTTAAGTCTATCTTCCAACACCTTGCCCAACAATTAGGCTGACAAAGTACGGCAAGGGCCCTCCAGAACTTCCTTGAATGAGGCAGGAAAGAGGAGAAACAGTCTCCAGAGTCAGGTCCAATGTGCTTATCACTGGCCTGTCTTAAGTTTGAGTTCCCTGGGAAGCAGATCCAGAGAGAAGGATTCAAATGCAAGCAGTCTATTTGGGACATGATCCCAGGAACCATTAGTAGAGAAGTGGGGAAGTGAGATAGGGAAGAAAAGGTAGCTAAGGAGCTGGACCCAGGTTGGGGAAGCTCTGGGAAGCAGTATATGTTTTACACTCTCAGAATCATCCCACCCAAGAAGGGTGAGGCAATTGGGCTATTCATCCACTAACTCCTGTCACTCATTGATCAGTGCTACTGGACTAGGGGAGCACATTAATTCCCTAGCACTTCCTGGCTACCCTATACGGACTGCAGAGAAAGCCCTCAGGTAAAAAGTTAAAGGTACTAGCAGTTGGAAGTTGGCCAGAGCACCAGACCCGAGAGATATGGTAGGCACTGCCTTGTTTGCTGTAGTCTTCCCTTTACCACTCTCATTCCTATCCATTTATTATTTTCTTTTATAGTTTTTTTGTATTTGTTTGTTTGTTTGTCGTTGTTGTTGTTTTAGCTCCCAGCTAGTTGGTTCTGCCAATAGTCCTCTTATTATGATCTCAGGGCATATTTTTACTATTCCAGTTAGGTTATCTCATTTCTCTTTCCAACACCTGGCTAATAGGTCTCTTCTGGGAAGGTTTTCTCAATTAATCTCACTGAGTTCTGATCCCAGTTACACACCGCATCCACTCCTGCTGCTATGCTGGCTTGAACTCTCTAAATGCCAATGAGAAATAACACAGAAGGTCCATGTGTGAATCTGTGGCACCACACTACCTCCCCTCAGTGGAGGTCAGTGCCATAGCTGAAGAAAGAAGCCCCCATGCTCAGCTGGTGGTACATCAACTCTAGCCACACTGACTCTCTTACTAAAACTCCACATATGATTATAGCCCACATGAAGGAAAAAGGAACTTTATAAGAAATCTTGCCCTGCCTGGCAAGATAAAGGCCAATTCCAAGGGATCCAGGATAGTACCCACCACCATCTCCTTAACTTCCTTATAAGCATCAGGTTACTCCTAGCACTTGACAAGATCTCTCCTTGAGAGGCAGGGACCTTGCTTTCTTAGCATGGCTTGCCTCATCCTAGTCTTGATAACACCATTTCTCTCCCTAGTTTTCACCCATCTCAAGCTGGCAAAGGTGGCCACTCGCCTTGGGCCAGGTACAGAACAGCCCGGGCCACCTTCAGTCGCCGTTCCCTACTGACCACCTCCAGTCGGTCCAGGAGTCCCATCACATAGGCCTTCTGGGCATCTTCCTCCAACTCCAGCCACTCCTTGCCCTGCACTGGGGAAAAAAGGCCATACAGATCCAGTGTCAGCTTTTGCCTCCCCTTCCTGGAAAGGCTCCTGATAACATACCCACCTCTGATCCCCACCCCCAACAAATTCTTCTCTTCAAAAGCTTTCTTTATTTAGCTGAGAAAGAATAAGAGATTGGAGAAATAAAGGACCCCCAAAGTTCTGGCTGAATCCACTCTGCAGCTCATCTTCCTCCATATCCCCTTTATTCTCCACACAGAGCCTGTTCTGTCCTATCTCTATGCCTTTCCAAGGAGTTCCCTCTTTCCCTACATATTCAATTCCTATTCATCATTACAGGTCCAATACTAAATTACCTCTTTCCCACTAATGCTCCAGCCAGAAGCTCTGTCCCCCAAGATACTACCCTGCCTCCAGTACCCCCAAGATACCTTTTACTTCTCTTATGATACTTACCACTTTCCTTTTGGCCTCAGTAAGTTTTGTGATGTACACACCTCCCCTCTGCCACTGGACTATAATCTCTTTGAGGATTCTGCAAATTCACTTTCAGCCCTGCTCCCCGCATCTCGCACAAAACAGTTCTCACCACACATCTGTTGAGCTGCAAACTGAATTCACTGACCAAGTAAGGAGATGGAGGTCTGAGAGGATCAGTGTGGACACATGGAATTATTATTAGATGCAATTAGGAGTGAGGCAGAGTTGGAGGCAGGGACTGAATGTTAAAGTCAAGGACTACACTAGGAACAGAGTTCAATCAGGCCTCAGGGCACCAGCCCAGTTCCCATCCCTCTGCTCTCTGGGGCCTTTATATCAGTGAAAGGGACCGAGCTCAGGCTTCTCCTGCTTCCATTCCATGGCCTCTCCACTTGAGCTATAGGAAACTCTGTGTCCCATATGCAAGAAGGGATAGAGAAGTGGTTATGGAGAGGACGAAGAAGAATCATACTTTGTTTTGGGCTTTTTCTAGATCAGGCTGGGATATCATGGGGTGTGGGGGAGGAAAGCAGGTCTCTATGAATAAGAATCTGGGATCACCTTGAGTCTTGAAATCTTCTTCAAAGCACCTCCTGTTAGTGGTGAATTCCAGGTTTTCAGTGTAGCTATATAATTCTGTGTCAGGAAAGATAGGACAGAGTCACAAACATTCAGCAGACCCTTACAGAAGGGGCCTGGGGTGGAGAGGGTGGCATGAAAGAGCTAAAGCTTCCAACACATTCCTGTGTCCAATTCAATCCAGAGCCAGCTTCCTCTCTTTCGGAGCAGTTAAAAATAGCCACTTGTGTCCCTGGGTGATTAAACCATCAAACCTGTCCCCCTCCTGCCAGCTGGCTGCTACAGCAGAGAAGGCAGTCTTCAACACTGGTCAGGGCCAGGAGGAGGGATGAAGCAGAAAAGGCTTACTGTCATCAATCCTGTTTCTTAGGGCTGCAACCCCTTCTGCTTGTCAACCCAGACTGAAACTATCCTGTCTCTAGGGAAGAGAGGGGCAACACAATGCCTGAAATTTAGAGGCAAGATCCTTGTGCTATTCAAGGAACCAGAGTAAAGGCTGGAGAGTATGTGTTAGATGGCCCTTTGGGGTTGGAGCCTGTTCATTCTCTCCCTGCTGAGTTTCCTCAAAGGGTATAGAAGTTTAGGTTCCTGCCCATGGCCACCCAGGTAGACACAGCATCAAACAACATAGAAGCAGCTATTGTTGCCAAAGGGCTGCTTATGCCCAAGAAAATCTAACTTTGTTAACAATAGCCTCTGAATACAAAATGCAGAGAGTTTATGAGAAATAAAAATGCCTTTCCTACAGACACACACACTCCAGAACATTATACCAGGAAGTACCCTCATCTTACAGAGGATGAGATTTGAAGTTGAGAAGTCAATAAGTGACAGAACAGATTTCCTCAAAACTCTGTAACAGACCCTTGCTGGAAATTTAACTAGGTCATAGATAATTCACAAAGAGAAATTCACTTATGTTCCAGCCAGCTGTATAATGGTTGAGAAACACCTTGTCTGGGAGCCAGGGCTTTTGAGTCCTGAGTTCCAGAATCCTGGATTGACCAGAAGCAAATCCCATCTCTGACTCTGATATTCTTCAGCGCTCAGTGGGTAGTGTGCATGTATGTTTTTTAAGAGCACAGCATGAACCCAGTCAGAGAAGGGAGCAAGGCTGTTAGGTACTAAAATATTTTCATTTTTATTTTTAAATTTTAGATCATGAATTTTCATAGACAGATACAGAATACATAAGATAACCTATGTATCTTCTACCCAGATTAAACAAACATTTACACTTGTTATATTTACTTCAGATGTCTAAAGTTTCCTTTTCCTCCCCAGTCTCATTCCCATCTCAAGACTTAACCATTTTAATGATATTGGTATGTATCCTTTACATGCCTGTTTTTCTTTTACTGCATATGTATATACCTGTAAACAACATGACATTGTTGTGCTTGAAAGCTTTTACCCAAACAGGATATTATATATATTATTTTTCGTAGAAACAATTCTTAGTATGTCTTTCAATAGTTTTTTACATGACAGTGTACTGAACACATCCATTTACTTAACTGACACTGTTCTTAATCAAGTGTGCAACTAGACTTCCCAGAAATATCTTTTAGGTTTGTGTGTTTAAGCAGTATTTGGATGCATGTATAAATTATTTTGTCACTGCTTCTTTCACTCTCAACACTACGTTTTTAACATTTATTGATATTGAAACATATTGATATAGATCAATTATTCTAACGGCTATGTGGTAGCCTACTATACTGATATGCTACAGTTTATCCATTCCCCTAAGTGGTTTTAAATTTTTCACAATGGCCACAATAAACATGTTTATACATGTTTTCTTGTGCCCAAATGTTCTTTAAAGGATACATCTAGAGTCACTGTGTCATAATATGTGTGCATCTTCAACTTTGCTAGATATGACCAAATTGCTTTCCAATTTTATATTCTGCTCCCTCATGCCAAGCAGTGCATAAAAGTACTCATTTCTCTGCACCCTCACCAACTTCAGGCTTTTAAGTTTTGCCATCCGATGAATATGAAATAATACCTCATTATTTTAATTTGCTTTTCCTCATTTACTAATGTAGTTGAACATCGTTTCATATATTTATTGACCATATGGTTTTCTATTCTCTGAATTCCTATTCATATTCTTTGATTATTTGTCTATTGGGTTGTTCTTCTCTTTTCTCTTTCTACACACACACACACACACACGCGCACACACACATACATATATGAAATATATTATCTGGAATTCTAATCCTTTGTTGGTTATTAAACTCAGCTCTCTCTTTGTCACTCATCACAAATTTATTCCCTGTGCTTATTCACAAGAACTTCTTTAAAAGTTCTTGTCTCTTTTCTCTGAAAAAGCATGTCTCAAAGTGTCACTTCCATGTGACAGAATATTTAATTTTCACACCATCGCCACCCAAAGCCCGTTTATTAATAACTGGCATTCATAGCACATGTAACATGGAGGCTCTTAGTGTGAGGAGATCACACTTAGCCTAAGCTAAAACCCAGACAGAGATAGAGAGGGAGAGGGTGGCAGAAAGAAGGGGGCATGCATGCAGAGATATGAGTGAATATGGGAAAAGAAACAGGAGGAATAGGGAAAAGGTGGAAAGAAAACAGATTTGAGAGTGCACCAAAAGAGAATAAAGGATGAGCAGAAAAGAGTGATAGAATAAAAGTGAAGAATACTGTAGCCAAAGGAGAATTCACAGAAGGAAATGTAAAAGCAAACATATTTACTGCTGGAGGTTGGAGAGAAGAGGGAATGTGGAGAACAGACAAGCTGCCAGGGGAGATCACAGACCCCTGCCCTCTCCTCCTGGCTATCCTTCCACTCTCCACAGACCATCTCTACCTCATACCTGACAACTCTGCTGCGTGCCCATCTGCATCTCCATACTCAAATTCCAGAGTGGGGCAGTCCACAGAGCCCTGTAATGGAGAAGTCTTTGCAGTAACTTGGGAAAAGGAATGAAAAAGGATATTATACTCTCATTTAATACTCATTATACTCTCTTCTTCTTCTCTTAGAGGCCAACGTTAGATCAGGGAGGCCGCTAGGAGAGTCCCATCTGGATCTTTAATCCAAGAGGTACCCTCCTCCAAGCCAAAATCCAAGGCTCAGTACAGGGCAGGGCTGAAGGTTCCTATATAAAGTCAGAAAATCTGGGTAAAGGGCTAGGATTGTGAACAGATATGAAAGCTATGCAATCTGTGCCTGTATCTGACCTACATAAACATGGACCAGAAGAGCATGTAGCTGATTTCTAGAACAATGAGATGAACTAAAACAAAAGAGGTGAGCTGGATTCTAATTTCAGCTATGTCATTAACCCACTGTATGATTTTGGGCAAATCTCGTTTTTTGGATCATAGTTCATTTATTAAAAAAAAAAAAAAGTACCTCAGGTCTAGTGTTGACAACTTTAGGATTGTCAAATAAGGTAGTATTTCTACTCCAGGTTGTTGTTGTTTTTTTTTTTAAGATTTTATTTATTTGACAGAGAGAGCGACAACGAGAGAGGGAACACAAGCAGGGGGAGTGGGAGAGGGAGAAGCAGTCTTCCCACTGAGCAGGGAGCCCCATGCGGGGCTCGATCCCAGGACCCTGGGATCATGACCTGAGCCAGAGGCAGATGCTTAATGACTGAGCCACCCAGGCGCCCCTACTCCAAGTTGTTTTAAAGCTAGATTTCCTATGATGTTGTATGTATAAATTTATAATACTATATAAAAATATTTTAATGTGATCCCACCCCCTAACCTCTTTAAGAATTTTAGAGTTATTTCCTACCAGCATACATTAGTATATATAAATTTTAAAATTTTTGCATCTCAGCTACCCCATATTGAGATCTTGAGCAAGTCACTTAATCTGTCTGTGCCTCAGTGTGGTATAAAAAATGTATTTGGTCTTTGACCACATTCCAGGCACAGAGCTCCTAAAACCTCTGGAATTTCCTGATAGAAGTGTAATTCATAAGCCCCAGTCAACTTCTAAACTTGAGTTTATGCTAATGAGGTGACTCCTGGTGAGCCTTTAAGAGTTTCAGGGCTCGCCACACACCCAGAGAGGGGAGGAGGCTGATGATTGAGTTCAACCAGTGGCCAATGGTTTAATCAACCATGCCTAGGTAATGAAACTCCATAAAAGCCCTAAAACAATTAGGTTTGGGTACACCAAAGTGCTAGAAGGGTGAAACCTAGAGGGCGTGGAATCTCTGCACCATCTCACCCCCATATACCTTCTTCTTTGCCTTTCTTCATTTGGCTATTCTTGAGTTGTATCCTTTATAACAAAATTGTAATTATAAGCAGAACAGTTTTTTAAACTCTGTGAGTCACTGTAGCAAATTATGGAATCTGGGGATGGCGGGGTTAGGGGTGGGGGTGGTCATGGAACCTCTGAATTTACAGTTGGCCAGGTAGAAGTGCATGTAGCCTGGGGGCCCCAGGTGTGGCTGGCATCTGAAATGGGGACTATCTTTTGAGACTGAGCCCTTAACTTGTGGTGTCTGTGCTAACTACGGATAGTGTCAGAACTGAATTGGTGCCAGGGAATTACTGGAAAACGAAGTGCTCAGTTTTCCTATCTGTAAAATGAAGATAATTCATAGGGTCATTATAAGGACTCAATGAGTTAATAGAGAAAAAGCATTTAGCACACTACCCAACACTTGGTAGTACTATGTAGATGGTTACACTACTTTGTTATTTTTTTTAGATTTTATTTACTTATTTGAGAGAGAGAGAGAGAGAGAGAGAGAGAGCACTGGAGCAGAGGGGAGGGGTAGAGGGAGAGGGAGAAGCAGACTCCTGGCTGAGCAGGGAGGCGGATGTGGGACTCATCCCAGGGTCCTGAGATCATGACCTGAGCTGAAGGCTATGCTTAACCGACTTAGCCACCCAGGCGCCCAGTTATACTACTTTGAATTTTACCTACTGTACTTAAAATTTTAATATTATATTATAAAGGCATTATTCTCATATTATCATGACTATCATTTTAAACAGCTAAGTGTACAGCTAAGTGGACAGATAACTGGTTTTCTTAACCAGTTCACTATTGTTGAACATTTAAGTTGTTTTTCAATTTTTTTTTTTACTATATGTATGAAGCTGTGATACACTTATAATTTTTCCATATTTAGGAACTTTCCTAAGGATAGATTCTTTTTTTTTCAACTAAGGATAGATTCTTGAAAAGGAAATGAATTGCATCAAACCTTATGAATGAACACTTGTATGGTTCTTTGTATATGACAAGTTGTTTTCCAAAACCACTTTATCAATTTACACTGCCATCAATGCAAATCATATTTAAATCCACTATAGCAAAGCTTTCCAAATACTTCCAGGTTACAGAGACAAAAAAAAAAAAAAAAAAAAAGGTGGAGGGTGGGAATGACATTTAGGGTGTTCTGATAAGTAGAGACTTAAAAATCTTTTTAAAATATATATTTCCAAAAAGGATAGTTTAATACTCCCAAAATGAGGATACAATATTAGAATAAAAGAGTCATTAACAGCATGTTTTTCAAAGTTTTTGGATTGTAAATCAAAGAATAAATAAACTTTACATTATGTCCCAACACACACATACAAAACTGGACCAAAGTTTAACAAAATAGTATCACTATCACTATATGTGATGTAGATATTTTCTATTATTCTATTTCTTTAAAAAAATGTTGGTATCAACTCACAGATTACCCCCTATGTTTGAAAAACACTGTTTTAAATTGCATACATCCTTCAGCAGGGTCAAGAGCCAGCATCCCGGTGACAAGATGTCACATGTTCCCTGCTACGATGTGACCAGAAGGACAGTCACCTCTGTGGTCTTCTACCTGAAAGGCTGGAATCTCACCTTATGTCAGACAGACCCTGAATGAAGGAGGCTCACTGAGAAATTCTCACAGCCCACAGCAGGCTCAAAATAACTGGGGCCTGAGAAGGACGCCCGAGGGACACAGCCTTGCATCAGTCAAACGACCAATGTTGCTTCCATAGTTTGGACAAAGGCACCGTGGAAACCTGAGGAGCTGACATCGGGGAAACTGAGCAAGGGGTACAAGAGCCCTCTGTACCATCTCTGCAACGTCTCTGTAAACCTAAAATCACTCTAAAGTAAAAAGTTTAGTAAAAAAAATAATAATAAATAGCATAATCCTTTATTTATTTATTAAGTAAGCTCTACACCCAACATGGGACTTGAACTAATGACCCAGAGATCAAGAGTTTGCATGCTCTACCAACTGAGCCAGCCAGGCACCCCAAATTGCATACATCCTTTAAATTTATTGTATTGAACTACATTTTATGAAAAACTCACTTTAATGCCCCAAATTTTCCTCATTTTGCCACAAACCAGTAAAACTTTGTCAAGGACTTTGGAACCCAATTAAACCAAGGGATCTGGCTAAAGAGGCCTGAGGTGAATCATTTGGTTAAGAATCTTCTTATTAAGGGGCTCTTGGGTGGCTCAGTCAGTTAAACCACCAACTCTTGGTTTCGGCTCAGGTAGTGATCTCAGGGTCCTGGGATCCAGCCCCATGTGGAGCCCTGCGTCAGGCTCTCGGTTCAGTGGGATGTCTGCTTGTGGATTCTCTCTCTCCCTCTGCCTCTGCCCTTCTCCCTCTGCCACTCAGTTTGTGCTCGCGCGCGCATGCGCTCTGTCTCTCTCTCTCAAATCTTTAAAAAAAAGAATCTTCTTATTAAGTAAATAATTATTCTCTAGCTTCCTATTTTCCTTGGGATGTTCATACACTAAGCCATTCAGAGAGGGTAGGTCAACCAGTGTCCCTTACAAACACAATGATGGATGAGGACACTCTCTTGAATGGCGCCAACAGTAATTCTCTTCCAGTAATCCTTTAGAAGCACAAGAGGTGGGGGGAAAGACAAAAACAAAACCATCTCCTCTGAGGACTGTCTTCCACAGGAAAGCAAACGGAGGGAAGGAAGGAAAGGCAGATAGTCATCTACGTCTGGCACCTGAGTGTTGTGGTGATAGGGAATGTACTGACAGGTAAAAAGCAGCTTTCCTGCCGCAGTGGAAGGTGGAGGAAAGCTAATCTTTCCAGCCAGCCTTTTGGCAGGCAATAAGCCCAGATGGAGAGAATCACTGCAGTTGTCCATTTTCAAGCATAAAAAGTGCAGCTGCAGACAACCAGGAGGTAAAACTGTGGGGCAGGTGGAAAGCTCTGAGTCTCTGGATACTGAATTCACTGGCAAAAGGAAAGTACTATCAGAGCCCTTTTCTTGAAGGAAGACTTGATAGGCAGGGAAAAGGCCTCCTACATCCTTTTTTTTTTTTTTTTAAGGTTTTATTTATTCATTAGAGAGAGAGACAGAGAGAGCACAAGCAAGGGGAGAGGCAGAGGGAGACGGAGAAGAGAGGGAGCAGAAGCCGCAAACTGAGCTGGGAGCCCGACATGGGGCTCGATCCCAGGACCTGGAGATCACAACCCGAGCCGAAGGCAGCCGCTCAACCATCTGAGCCACCCAGGCACCCCTCCTTACTTGTTTTAATTCCCCCAAATTGGTTTCATTCTGAAACCAATTATTTTATTTACTTGCATATTATCTGTCTCTCTACCCTGACTAGAATGTTTGTTTGCTCCACAGAGCAAAGACCTTATCTTGTTCACCACTGTATTCCTAACACCTAAACAGTGCTGGGCTTGTTGGAAGCACTCAATAATTTTTGAATCAATGAATGACCCACCATCTCCCCCCCCAAAATACATTTAAGCAAGAACAATGTCTCTATGGGGGAATGAGGCACAGGGTGCCCTAAAACGCCAGATTCAGGGGTGCCTGGGTTGAGCATCCATCTCTTGGGTTCCTCTCCAGTGGTGATCTCATGTGTTATGGGATAGAGCCCTTCATGGGGCTCCATGCTCAGCAGGGAGTCTGCTTGGGGATTCTCTCTCTCTCTAAAATAAATAAATGAATCTTAAATAAGTAAAATAAAATAAAAGGCCAGATTCACAGTGAGGCAGGGAGGGAGATGATATGGACAGAACCCTGATCTAGCTAGCAAGACAGTAAGGCTAATCTCTGCCTCCGAAAGGTGGTGTGACTCTGGGCCAGTCTTTTCATCTCCTCCACTTCTCTTTTTTAGAAAATGTGATGGATTCCCCCTTGTCTGTATCAAAATGTAAAACATATATGAAATCCCTTTGGAAACTGTGATATACTATTCAAATGGTAAACCATTGCTGGGACAAGTTAGACCTGGCTTCTAGTACCAGCTCTGGCCCCGTGAGCTCATGACCAATTACATGCCCTGTGCCTGAACTGAATTAAACATTTGACATTCAGTTATCTCACTTGGCTTTATCACAACCTTATGAGGTAGGTAGTATTAACCTCATTTTACAGATGAAGAAATGAGCTCAGAGAGGTTTGGCAATTTGCCAAAAGTCACACAGTAAATGGTAGGGCCAGGATTCAAAACCAGGTCTGATTGACCCCAAAGGTTGGTGCTCCTGGCCACTATGCCAGATGTATGCTCCTGGGCAAGTTACTTCTGTCTCTTACTTCTGTAAAACAAGGGGCTAAAACAGATGATCTCTACAGATCCTTCCACATCTGACATTTTGTAGTCTATTCTCCTGATCCCCACTCACATCCAATTCTACTCTTGGCTAGTTGATGGAAACTGGCTGGATGAGGGGGCAGGGGACTAATAATTCACTCCTTTCATCCTCTTAGTTAGCATTTCTTTTCAGAAGAAGTGACCCAAACATTCATATTCCTATCTGTGGGTTTGTATCCTGGACAGTTCCATCCACTCCCTCCTGTACAGCCCCTGCCTGAAGCCTGTCTCATTAACTCTTACTGGTAGGGGTCCTGAGGTCGTGGAAGGCACTCCCTAAAGAGCCTGCCAACAACACTCGGGGGGAAGGGGAAGCGCAGAAGTCACTGGGCACATCTGGATCCGATCGCTAGCCCGGGGCTGGGGTGGGGGGGCGGCTGCCCACACGCCCGCCTCTATCCACTGCGGCGGAGCTCGGCCCCCCCCATCCCTCAGGCCAGTCACTTAACCTCTCCGCGCCCGTTTCCCCCGTAAATCTAAAACACGAATCCCCACTTCAAGGGGCTGCAGAGATTAAGTGAGATACACATTGAAAAGTATCAGGTATGCTCGATATCACGCTACATCTTCGCGCCCCCAGAGGAGAGGCCAGAAGGCGAAGAAGCCCCCGACCCGCGGCACGAGACTGGCAAAGAGGGATCCGGGCTGCAGAGCCCAGAGTCCAGGCTGCGGCGGACCCCGCAGGCGCCCGCTCCAAGGGGCGACCCCAAGCGCATCGGGGACTCCGGAAGGGGAGAGGGACCAGGCCGAATCACCTCAGCCACCGCTTCCCGCCCGCTGGCGTCTCCCGGCCCCAACTGAAGCTCTCCGGGTTCCTCACCTCCGACTCCCGCCGCTGGCTTCTGAACGCTTCCCGGCCCTTGGGCGCCGCCTGCTTCCCTTTGCCGCCGCCGTTGCCGTTGCTATTGGTGGACGAGCTCCCGGCCCCGGCCGCCGCGGGGTCCTCCATGCGGCCCTAGTCAGCGGCTCCCCTCAGCGGCTCCGCGATCTCTGCCCGGGGCGACCCGGCCACCGCGCGCCGGGAGCCAGGCCCCGCCCCCTCCACAGCTATTGGCTGCGGTCGCGCCCCGCAGCCCCGCCCCGCAGCGCAATTGGTTATTCGACGGCTCGAAGCGGGACCTGGAGGAGGCGGGGGGGCAGGGCTCATTCACGGGATTTCCCCCCCCCGTTTTTTTTTTTTTTAAGTCCTGCGGCGTTGCTGGTAGTCAGTCTTAGGCTCCGGGGTAGGCTCCGGGCTCCACCTCCCGAATTCTGGGCCTTGAGTTCTGGCGGGTTATCTTTTTGCTTCTCACTCAGTACTCACCCCCTCCCAAATAGCGACCTTTTTGAGGAGCTCTAGTCTCCGCCTCCTGCTCCACTGCAGTCTCCCTTTCTCCATTACCACGGACCTCTATCCCACCTCTCGCATTAAGCCCCAAGTCCCGTGTCAGTCGCAGGGGAGGCGTGGCAACGCCGGGTAGCCAGGGACACCGCAGGAAACCAGGGACCCGCTCTCTGAGAGCTCCTCCCGTCCGGAGTGAGGGCTTGGCTAGGAGATAGTGGGTTGAGGGGTCGGGTGAGGCGTTTTCACTTCGCTGATATTGCTGGCGCCCTTCAGAGCTGCTCCTGGTCATCTGTCTTTTTCCTCTGAAGTGGGGCACCTTCCTCAGGTGTGAGCTAGGGAGAAATGTTGAATGGAGAGCAAGCCCCCACCTGCTCCCCAGTCCTTTCCTTCATTCCTCTAAGATCCTTCCTAAGGGCTCTATACAAAGGAGGCTGTGTCGTCTGCCGCTCCGAATTTATATAAAAAGCGGTTTACAGTAAATATTTAAGCTGTCTGGGTTGGTAATTAGAAGTCCCAAACAAGCAGCCTGAGGGGAATGGGTGGAACAAAATGGGGAATTGTTGAGCTGCCACTTTGTTCCAGGCATTGCACTAGACACTTTCCAGATATCACATGGTATTTCAACTCTGACAGGTTGTTTTCACTAATCTTGTATTACTGTTGAGAAAACCAGGACTCAGAGATTACTCCTTGCAGTTCCCAAGGTATCATATTCTATCTTGTCTGTGTCTTTGCAGTTCTTTCTCTCTAGAAAAAACTTTCTGCTCTTCTAAGTGCTAACTTCTATTGTTCTGTGAAGATTCTATTTCGTTATTACCTCTTCTTCCAGAAAGCCTTCCTTTGACCCTTCTCAACCCACTCAGGCTGTGTTGGAGTCATACCAAGTCTGCTTGGATTCAAAATTCGTATAGTTTCTACTATATCCCCAAAGTAAGAGGCTCAAAGGAATTATTCCCCCTTCCTATATCTTAGGAACAACTCTCTTTTCTTAGTAATACTTTTTTTTAAATTTTAAGTAATCTCTACACCTAACGTGGAGCTCGAACTTACAATTCTGAGATCAAGAGTTGCATGCGCCACCGACTAAGTGAACCAGGCACCCCAACTCTGTTTCTTTCTTAAGCATATCTCTCCCTCGTACTTTGCTCAGCTTAGTCAGTAGGTGACAGATCAAGGCAGAGTTGAAAAAGAGAACTCCTTGGAGCTTTCTCAGTTCCTTTCTCTTGTATTACCGAGGTCTCCTTACTGTATCCACCCATTTTCCCTTTCCTCTCCCATCCCCCGCAACCTGAATATAAGTTCCTTCAAATAAGGCCAAGTTTTGTTCATTTTGTAAACCTCATATATGTATGTTTAACACAGGGTTTCTGTAATACTGACTGAAAAGTTATTTGTTGTAAGGAGCTGTCCCATGCGCGTAGGAATCCCTGGCCTCTCCATACTAGATGGCAGTATTAGTAACCTTCCCCAAGTTGTGACAACCAAAAGTGTCTCCAGATATTGCAAAATGTTCCCTGAGGAGCAAAATCTTCTGCAGTTGAGACCTACTGGTTTAACAGAATTGAATTGATATGAATTTCCAAGGAAGTCCATGGTTCAAGACCTAAACTATTTGATTTTGGAATTTTTTTCAGGGTAATATTTGTTAAACTCTAAGATTCACACTCTGCTTTCAAATTCACAACGCACGCCTAGCTCATCACTGCTGCAGTGTGGTAAACCTGCCACAGCCCATTGACATTTCTTTTTTTTTTTTTTTTTAAAGATTTTATTTATTTATTTGACAGAGAAAGACAGCGAGAGCAGGAACACAAGCAGGGGGAGTGGGAGAGGGAGAAGCAGGCTTCCCACTGAGCAGGGAGCCTGATGTGGGACTCGATCCCAGGACCCTGGGATCATGACCTGAGCCGAAGGCAGACGCTTAACGACTGAGCCACCCAGGCGCCCAGCCCATTGACATTTCTTAATAAAAGAATTAATTATTCTGTCTTTCTCTTCCCAATTCCTGTCCTTCTAACAATCAGAGTTCTAGGATTGACATGCCCAGAACTTCATATTTCTTTTGTGAGCCTAGTCAATCAGCAGGATTCTCAAACAGTGGTGGCAGATAGGAATGGCCAGTTTTGAGGCTTTGTTCCTTTTCCACTCTATTCCTTGGGCAAAGGAACAAAGCCGCAAACAGGCTTCCAATGGGAATAGGACTGAGGACAGCTTTCAAGTCCCCTCTGGCCTCTATGCAAAGCCAACTGCTGAGCCTGGAGCTCCATCTGGCTTCACTTTCAGAGAAGGGGTTTGAAAAACTGGTGTTAGGGAGATTGCAAAGAATCAACACAAGAGACCTCAATTCATTATCTTTTCCAAAACCCAGTGGAATGGGAGACAGTAAAGACCAGACATTTGTCTGCTCCTTATAGGCCCAGACTTTCAGAGCTTGTCATAAGGAAGAAGACATCTGGAAAACAATTCCTGGAAGAGGTAACAAGAAACCACGGACTAACTGAGAACTTTGAAACTATAGGGCATGGACTGGGCACACACTGAACTTTTTAAAGCGTATTTGTCAGCAAAGATGCGATAGCCATCAATACCATTGACCACAGAGGCATCCGTATATATAGCTGGGAGCTAATTAGGGGCTAGTCTACAAGTTTTTCCACCTTGCAGAGATGGCTCCAGTGCTGAGTTATTTTTAAATCAACACTACCACTTTTCCTTGTCCCAAAACTCAGGCATTTTGGGGCTGCTAGCAGAGGGTTGGAGGTATAAATAGGTATAGTTACAAGGACTGAACATATCCTCTTCCCTATATAAGCACTCAACTTTAATCCATGGAGGTCAGATAGCAGATTAAATAGATAGCACCTGTTACAGAGAGCCCTTAAAAATAAGACGCAGAAAAGTCTTACAATACTTAATTTTTGAGGACATTGGGCAGCCAGGATGATATAGTAGAAAAAGGACAGAATATTTTCCTCTCCTATCAGTGGCACAGGCAACAGAGACTGTGGGACCCTAGACTGAGATAAGGAATTGATGCTTATGTAGCACATGGTGTGTGCCAGGTTTTTAAGCAGCATTTTAAAAATTAAATCAGGTCTTTAAATCCTTACCCTAGGAGACAAGCATTAACCATTTCATAGGCAGGAAAACTAAGGTTCCAAGTGGTTGGTTATATTATATATATATATGTATATAATATATATATCAAATTATACAACTTGTAAATGGAAGAGCTGGTCAAATGAGCCTGACTCAAAGTCCAATCTCTTTCCATACAGACCACAAGCTAGAGAAATTGCACAACCCTTGGTAGTCAGGGCTTACCCTATGAGCTTGAAACTAAGACCCAGGCACGCAAGCGCCCATCTTTCACAGAAGAGGACTCAAGCCCTGCTCTAAGGGAGTGAACCTGCCAGCTGGCTCACAGGCTTCATCGCTAGCCACTGTGTTCTCCTTCTCCTCAACTGGAGTGGCACCAGCTTTGAGTCATTACCAACTGCCCAGACTATTTTAGCTCTTAGTTTAGATAAACACAAGTCAAAGTAGCAGAAGATTCTGAGAGGGAAGAAAACATCTTGCGTACAGGAAGAACTAGGTTAGGCTGTCAACTAAGAAAGGTGGCTATCAGAAAGCTACTCAAAAATGGCCACTCTACTGGCAGTTGAGAAAGAGGCAGTTGGATTTAATCTTCTAGTTACTGACTTAGGCAAAAGCTGACTTGGAGAGAAAACTCTGCCAGATTATTTCTTCCATTTGGTTGGATGTAGTCAGGTTCTGGGTGTCAGGGCACTTTAATCCCAAACCATGGATGCTGGCTTCCTGTGCTCTCCAGCTAAGAGCAGCACAGAGAGGATTTGGGGGACCTAGAACTAGATGTTTCTCTGCCTTAGGCCTATACTTCTCTACTCCCCAGGGTGATGCTTCTTTTCTTTTTTTAAGAGATTTTATTTATTTATTTGAGAAAGTGTGTGTGTATGTGGCAGGGTGGGGAGAGACAGAGAGAAAGAGAGCATGAGCAGGGGGGCAGAGAGGGTTAGAGGGAGAGGGAGAAGCGGACTCCCCGCTGAGCAGGGAGCCAGACGTGTGGCTTGATCCCAGGACCCCGGGATCATGACCTGAGACAAAGGCAGATGCTTAACCAACTGAGTCACCTAGTTGCCCCTCCAGGGTGATGGTTCTGAGAAAGCAGGTTCTTTACACACATAACCAGGGGGCAGGTTGGGGGTAAAATAGTGGAATGGCCCACCATGGAATAAGGGACCCAACGCTAAGGCCATTTAAACATGCTGCTTTTGGTAGCCTATTGGTAAGATGCTTTTTACATCCTTGCCCTGCAGCAGGCTCTCCAGCCCTTTTCCCAGAAACATCTCTCATCTCTGAATTCGTAGTTCACAGAAGCAAGGAATATTCTCAAGACAAGAATCCATTTTAAGAATATTTTATTTATCTTTTGAGATTACATAGTCATTATTGCTGATCTAATACAATCACTTAGACATAAAGATTTCCAAGAGCCTCTCAGAAATGGCGATTCTTAGAGGTTTTATTTCCTTTCAGTAAGATGACAGTGAGAACTAGATGCTTATATATATAATATATATATTATATATATAGTTTAGTTTATC